GGGGTGGGAAGGTTGAAAGCTACGAGAGACTTTGGGTATTTTTAATTAAATTTTCTGAAGTAAGGAAATCAGAGAAATGTAATCTTTATCATTTCAGAAGGCGGTGGAGATCTAACAGATGTTGAAGTGAAGGCTGTCTCACTGCAACAGTAATTGGATTCAGAACACATTTCACATATTGACACCCCAATGGGATGTTGGGTGAACTTCGTGACACGGCAGTACTTTCGCTATTAGATGCATTGAGGAATTATGAGAACTCTAAATTTTAAGGCTTGTCAATAATTTTTCTGTGAATGTTGCGAAACCCATTCGTTCTTTTTTGTTACATGATCTGTGAGCATTCTTGACTGAACAGAGCCAACAGGCACAAGTACAGCATGTGCACACATTCTGCTCAGTAAAATTATGGGTGATGAGGTTTCCTGCCAACCGACTTTTCTCACCTACTTACAATGCTACTGTGCAACCTCAAGGACAAGAGGAGCTGGTGCATACATAAAACAAACAGAATACACACACACACACACACACACAAATCTTTTCTCTGTCTCGCTCTCGTATAAACACTGCGGTTTGGTCACGCTCCATCGAAAATGGTCATGGACACCTCCAGTCCTCTTTCCGCACTTCATTCTTAATAGCACCTCTTCAAGTCATCACATAAGTATGCGCGTGCACACGTGAATGGGTGTTTGTGTGTTTGTGTCGGGCCTTCATCTGTATGCCAAGCGTTTGTCTGGAGGCCCTCCAGCAAGAACCGGCTTAGAAGGAGCTCAAGGCCAAACAAGTGTGAGGATTAAAGGACGAATAGAGTCCTCTCTTCTGCACTCATCTCAGTGGAGGAAGTGAATGAGCAGCGCTCTCGTCTTTCTTAACTACCGCTGAGGTGCCCTTGAGCAAGGCTGTCGGAGTTGCCAAGCGCCTTATAGAAAAGTAGGGTTATTGCAGTTATCAAAGTAAACTAAGGCATTGGGGATATTTAAATGCCCAGCGCCCATTAGCGAAAAACTGTTATTTACTATACCTCAGAAACAAACGCACTGTTCCCCACTTTTCACACAACATATGGATGAAAACAACTGTAATATGCAAAGAAAGCTGTAGGAACAGCAGAGGCTGTTGTTTACACTATGTACATCCCATTAGAATTGCTCGCTTTCCTGCTTCTATCAAGCTAATTAAAATATGCAGGTACAGAGTTGGCTCAAATGGAAATAAGGGAAGAGAATTTGTGAAAGGCTGTCTGGGGAGAGGGAGGTTAAAAAATGAGAATAAAAAAAAACATTTTTATGAAGTAAGAGTTAATGAGTTCAACCACCAGACATAAAGAAAATGCTGTGGTTCAAATCTGAGCCTCGCAGGGCTTTTTAAGAGGTTTCTTTGTGTATAAGTTCCAAAGTCAGAAAGTTGTTGCTTATGTAGTTAAAAAAAAACTTTTCAGAAAAAGTAAACAAATTATGTTAGACTACAGAGAGCAAATTAGTTTTGAAAATTATTTTTATATTGCCATTCTTTCACAAATCATGTTTCTGCTGCTGCAAAAGGACACTGATCACCACAGTTTGCAGTAATTGAGCTCCTTTTGTTGTGGTGACAGTTAAGAAAATACTTCCAGCACGGTATTTGAAAGAGGTAAGAAAATTGCAGAGAATATGCAAATCAGTTACCTGAAGAAAAATAAAAACAGAGAAAGAGAGAGAGGGAAAAGCACAATGCTGTAAATCCAGAGTACAGTCACATTTATGTATTGGTTTAAATGTTTAAACTGGATTTCACCTTATTAGAAGATAAGTAATTTTTAATGAATGGTTTGCTTTCGTAGAGCGTTTTTATCTTTCTGCTTGGCTGGAAAGTAAATAACCTTCTGGTGCTCGTCTTTGGAGAAAAGAAAAGAACAAAAGGAGCGAGATGGTCAAGGTGCTTAACAGAAGGAGAATTCAGGGGAGCGAGTACCATGAGACGAGCCAACAGGAAGTAGCGGGCTGGCATGAACAAAATGTGGAATAACAATAAGGAGTGCCTTTTAAGTGTGTGAGAGAGACTGCACACAATGATGCTCATACACAACATTCCCCTCTTCCTTACTTCCTCTCTTTTATTCAGCCTCAGTCACATAGACATGCCTGTGTGCACACAGTATTATGTAAATAGTCTCTTCGGCAGAGTGCTGCTGTCACTGCGCGAGCGTCCTCTGGGCCATGCAGGCAGCCTCATTAAAACAAGGCACAGCATCCGTTAATAGATACACATATGTACACATATACGCATGTACGTGCACACGTATAGGGATGCACACTTCTTCATACGCACAATGCACCAGTAAAGGACCCACCAGGGGAGCTTCCCTAAACGTTCCTCTCAGGTGGCAGTCAAAAATATCGCCACGGAAACAGCTCAAATGTCACGGAGAGCGATGCATGAGGAGGGCGTGCAGGGGTGACTGCGACTGGAATGAGCGTAAGAAAAGACTTGACTTTGTGGCCTTAAACACACTCGGGGTCAGTGCCACAGTGTGTGTAGCTGGTGTGTATGTGTGGGTATGCCTGTATTTGTGTTACTGTTAGAGTACAAAGCCATTTGCATTCAAAATACTTTACAATTTATTACTTTTTTTGCCACTTTTGCATTGTGGATCATGATATCATTGTTTATTTGTGTGGGATCTTTAAATATAGACAGTAAACCTTTGTCTGATACCTGTAAAGTAAAAGGGGCCCCTGTTTGTTTCTGATCTGCTGGCCCCGCAGGTGGCTCCAGAGGTGTTGGCTTTATCCGCTTTGATAAGAGGATAGAGGCTGAGGAGGCCATCAAGGGCCTGAATGGCCAGAAGCCATCGGGCGCTGCCGAGCCTATAACGGTCAAATTCGCCAACAACCCCAGCCAGAAGACCAGCCAAGCTCTTCTGTCACAACTCTACCAGTCACCTAATCGCCGATACCCTGGCCCCCTTCACCACCAGGCTCAGAGGTTCAGGTGAGTACAGGGGCAGGAGGACGACAGAGGAGAAGGTGGGGAGGGGGAGGCTTTTAGGCAGTTTAGACACAATCGTTACTTATATCTCTATATGTGATGTGTCTAATGCAGAGTTTCCAAACCTTTGGCGTTGACCCAGTATTAAATCTTTACTATAAATTTGACGAGTCCAGGAAATTTCCAGTTGAAGTGGAGTGGCTGGTCCACTGTTCAGTAATTTTGAAAGCAGCCTTGCAGACAGTAGGTTGTCCTTGAACAGCCAGTATGAGCAGCCTGATTTTTTTGTCAGAGACATCGCGTGATGAGCCATTTGGGGTGCGCCTGGTTCCAAAAGTAAAAGTCTTTCTCAGACCATTTCCCAGTCTATTTAATTATGTTACATGAGTCACTGTTGGAGCACTATTAAGGACGGACGCAAGATGCTCCAAAGTACAAAAGAGCAACAGACCTTTTTAATGAAAATCCAAAAGGATCCAAATGTGTCCACATAAGAACGCAAGTATGATGTTATCTACAACCTTGTATGAACTCAAATTAATTCACTTTCAGTTAAACTTCAGGTAAATTTTTGAAACAATTGGAAGCCTGAGACAGCGGGCATCTGCTATAAAGTGATGAAAAGCACAATTTCTTAGAAAGAAAGCTAATTTAAAGTGATAGCTATAACAGAACAGCATTGTGATATTGTTGCAGAGTCTTTTGTATCTAATTTGACCAAAAAAATGCATTAAAAGTAATAAAATAACAGGATTTCAGAGACTGAAACATACTTCGTAGAACCAGTGGCACCTCCTCCTTCCGGGCTCTTTTTCATGTTTTAAAGTAGCAAATTGAAAACAAAGTGTAGACATAAGATAATCAACAATATGATTGGGCCATCTGCTCACAAGGTTGGGAATCTCAAGTTGAATGTCATCTGCTTATGTAGAAATTAAGGAAAACGAGTAAAGTATTTACTAGAAAGCTTCACAAACAGCCATGCTTTGTGTATCGCATAATCAGAAACTAAAATCATTTGATTTAATGTTTACTGATCAGCTATCAGTCTTAAACTTCATACAGATTTTTCTTGGTCAACGTGAAGCTCGGTGCATTCAATTTAGGAAACATGTCTACTCCAAACAACAGGCCTGATTTGGAAAACACGCACCAAGTGTCCATCATTATACTAAGTTAGATACCTCATTGGCCATTGCTTTATGTAGCCGTTATATGTCCGTGTGTCCGAGGACTGCAGCCTTTTGCCAAGATGATTGTTTGCAATGCAATCAGGTGTTGTAATTATTCGTGCTCTCTGGATCAGGTGTTACCCTACATTTAGAAATTTAGCTGTCATATTTGTGGTTTGACATGTCTGAAAGGGCATGAATTTCATTTCCATGCAGCAAGAAAAAATTAACTTTCCAGATACTCTTATTCATATCAGTCTGCTCAGCTTTTGCGAGTGCTATAAGGCCGACTGCTCTGCTCTGTTTTTAAAATTTTATTTCTTTAATTGCTTTATTAATGAAGTAGAAAGGTATTTTTTTGTTCTACACACTTAAGTCATGATAAGTACATCAAGTCACTTCCTCCATGTCCACAGGCTGGACAGTTACCATTAAACAAACCATACTGCAGATATTGTTAATCTTAAATTAGAATAGAATATGAGCATGTTGTTGCAGTAACATATATGCTAAAGCAGCGGTCCCCGGGCCTCGGACTGGTACCGGTCCGTGAGTCGTTTGGTACCAGGCCGCGAGAGTTGAGGCTCAGGTGTGAAATGTATAGTTTTCAGGGTTTTTATCGGTTTTCAGCGTTATTTTGTTATCGTTTTTCTCGTTTACTCGGTTTTCCTTGGTCTTTTCACGTGTGTTATGAATAAATCTTCTTTTTTTCGGTACCGGTACTAGTTTTATTTTGTTGTATTTATCCGCGACACCTTAAAGGTCGGTCCATGAAAATATTGTCGGGCATAAACCGGTCCGTGGAGCAAAAAAGGTTGGGGACCGCTGTGCTAAAGAATTGTGAACACTTGGGCTCTATAGCATTGTGATGCCGTGGTTAGCACTGTTGCCAGAGGGTCAAATCCCTACTGGGGATGCACCAAAAATCAGCCGACCCCCTTTGAGCAAGCACCTGGCAACAGTGGGAATAAAGAACTCCCTTTTAACAGGATGTAACCTCCGACGCAACCAGGCTCAGGGAGGGGCGGTCATCTTCCATGACCAGTTGGGTGTGGCGGGTGGAAAACAGGACAAAAAACACACTGTAGAAGAGAGGCAGAGATTAATAATAAAGTTTGAATGTTGTCTGCAGGTCCTTTAGCGTCCTTAAAGACATGCATGGGTTAGACAAGGTGTTTCAAATATTGCTGGGTTTTACCATGTAAAGCACTTTGAGGCAACTGTTGTTGTGGATTTCTCACTATATAAATAAAAGTGAACTAAGCTGATGGAGCAGCTCTAGCTCCCTGCGACGCTGAGTTGAATAAGTGGAAGAAGATGAGAAAGAGTCAGAGGTTTCCTGTCTTTGATAAGCTTCATTCTTTTCTACTTTACACACGCTTGAGTAACAGTCGGACACGTTGAATGCGATTCAATATCGAGTATCATGTTGAATTTCTCACATCTTTAACGAAGCAGATTTTATGAAAACGGGTTCAGAATTAAGTCATTTCTATCGTGTGTTTACTAGCAGATCCTGACTGGTCCAGCATGAGAACTACCCCGGCACACATCAAATCACAAACACAATATCTGTGTTTCTATATCTATGGTAACACTTATATTCAGAGAGCATGAGTCACCCCGGTGTCTGTGTTACAACAATGCTGCACTTTCTCTCCTGTGAACAGTCATTTGGCAAAAGCATCCTCTGAACGACAGGTGTGAGCCTTGCACCTGGTGCAGGTGTCCGTAAGTCAGCGAGAGCTCTGCGTGGGTCCACCCAGATCAGAGAGGAACTGTTCATAAGAGACTGTGGGGTTCTGTCATTCACAACTACATGTTTCCCCTCATTTCATCATGCTGCCATCGTGTCGATGCTTCCAGGCGTATTCAGGCCTGGGCAAAAACACATATTAGGAATATCTTTTTTTTTTTTCATAATTTTTGCAAAACAAAAAGATGCATTTTTACTGTTAGGTATTGTCCTTTAATTTTACACTCATTCTGCACGATGTTGTCCACTGTTTTGGACCGAAAGCTATCACACCTATACATTAGCCAGGCATGAAAGACATGAAATACTATAAATATGGCATGAGTCTGTGACTGCATTACAAGCTGACATTATTCAAGAGACTGATGCCTTAAATCCAGTCAGCAGAGGGCCAGTTAAAAGAAATCATTACAAAATGATTATCAGGATTTAAATTTTAACCCCATTTCAGCTTCCCAAAATTAATGTTATCTTCATGTCTTTAAAAATCGTTTTTGCCCAGGTCAGTAATCTTAACACCAAGTTAATATACAGTAGTTCGTACACTGCGTGGCATCCTACCCAGTCATATGCTGTCATTAAAGACCCAAACATCATCATATTATGGCACCTAGAGGTAGTTTGAGCGTGCTCCTTAAGCTCAAGTTACCTTTCACCTGAGTAACCAATAAGAAAACAGAAACAGCACACTATCATATGATCCAACAAGAATGTTTTAGAACTGAAGACAGAATATGTGCTTACACAATTTCCTCTCTTTCAATAACACTAAGCCGGTCGTGCTGTTTACTCTCCATCAAAGTCAGAGCTTGGAAGGTATTTTTCTTCTGGAGCAGCTTCCCTGGTGTGACACCTGAGCGATGTAGCGTGGCTGTGTGTCTGTGATACGCCAAGCCAATTTACAGGCTCTGCAGGAGAGCTGTCGCTTCTCATCACAACTCACAACCACAGTACACTTCCTCACCGTGTCCCTGTGTTCCTGCTCTCTGCTCCCGAGCCCTTTGCTAAAATCCTTAACACTTAAAAGTTATAAATGGGGTTGATATGTGTGGTTTCCAATTTTTTTAACTAAATTTAAGAAGGACTAAGGATGAAAAACTGTATTTATTCAGAACCGATCTCTTGTTTTGCTTACTTCCAACTATTTTTGAAGTTAGACACATTTTATGCGCACCTAGCAATGAGCACTGGAAATAAAATCCACCATAGATGCTAAAGTTGTTTTAGATAGTAAGAATGTTGTTTAGGAGACCCAAGTTTTTAATAAATCGTCTTGGCACAGTACAATCCTGCTGCAGCGATAATTACATCTGTCCTGTGTGAGTAAATCATGTGGGCCTGCCGTAACGCAAGCTAATGTGTAATGTGCTCGTACGGTCCCTCTCCAAGACGGCAAACATAATCGACTCAAGCACAATACGCGAAGCCCTAGATCCCCGCTTGCTTCCGATCCTCTGTCGTTAACTAATGGTACTAATTAGCAAATTAGCCTTATTATATCCAGGGCAGGAGCCAATTTTAATTGAACAGATTTTTGTTTCAAAAAGGAAAAGACAAAAACGCCCATTCCACCATTAACATGCATTGACAGACAGCACAAAAGCCCTATTGTTTGCATCCAGCTTGGAGAGGCAGCGTGAAAAGCTGGCAGAGTGTTTGCGTGGCGAGCTTGCATCGGTGTGGATTCGTACATGTTTGAGAGAGAAAGGAGAGCGAGAGAGTGTGTTAGCAGCAGGTTGTTTTGTTGTGGCCCAACGGCCCATCGGCCAGCAGATGTCTTCATGCTCCCGAGCCTGGAGCGCCTCTCCTCTGAGCATCCTCTCCAATTGACTCATTTACCCACAAAGCAGGCTGCTCGTTCCCTCCCCACGTAATGAGCTAATTACTGTTTTAATGATTCCGTATATCCTTTTCTCCACTTTTGTTCTTTGTTTTAGGGCTGCTTTTGTACTGCTTGGTAATTTTAAGTGAGAACAGTGCTACAGTGAAGACACACTGTGAAGCCAAGCAATAAGCAGGTCTACCATTTACCCAGAAGGTTTATGTAAACAGTGAAAAGGTTATGTAATTTACCTCCAATGAGGGGTTTCAATGTAGGTCACCACATTATCAATTTATTTACAAAATTGAGCAGTTCCCTCAGAAGATTATGTCTTGAAATTAATTTGTGAAATTAATATTTTTGAACACAGGTTAGTTCAATGCTGCAGTGTTTTTCATTTCTAAGAGAATTAGCTACAATTACCTGGCATCCTGTTGTTAAATTGTCCCTGATTAGAAGATTACTAATCTGTTATCTCTAACAGGCAGAGTAAATTTCATTTAACCTGATTAATACAAATAGTACTGTGATTATTATTATTAATATGCAAGATATTTACTACAAGGCTGCACAACTGCTTAAATAATCAGGATGTGTGTGTGTGTGATATATAGGCTATATTTCAAGGCAGTGATAACGTTGCCTTGAAATCTAGATTATTGAAATGTAACATTCTTTAAAATGTGCACCGCATAGAAGATTGTGTGCCTGTGTGAGTTCCTGTTTTTGCAAGGAAGCAAGAGAAAAGGAGAAACAACCCTGACAGTCGAGTCAAAGTCAGAGAGTTTGTAGTGTTTTCAAGAGGAACGAGGCGTCGCTGGCCAGCTGTTGCTCAATAAGCCGTCGCCCCTGTCCATTAGGCCAGAGGAGTTAATAAGACATGAGACAGGCCAGACCCAAGTGAGGAATGAAGGTCATTGAGTCACTAAGCAGACTGCATCCATCCAAGAGGGCCAACGTTTCATACAGCCCACAGGTTTCCAAAGCCCAGCTCACAGACAGACACACACACACGCACAAAGCCTGCCTGGTTCTTAAACAACACACAAATAGTAGTTTACCCCAGATGACTGCAATGGCTGTAGCTCGCAGGCTGGAATTATTACGAAAGCAGAACATCTCCCCAAACCTAACCCTTTTAGACAGAGCACACCCTCCGACTAACACGCTGCCATTCCACCCGACCTGTTAGCACTTAACAGGTTGACCCCAGCCACAAAGACAGCATTCACAATTTCACGCCTAGTTTAACATTCAGTTGTGCTTTTGTGTTTTCCCATCGCATAGAAACACGACTAATCATCGTCACCTCTCTCGCTCACCATCGTTCAAATGCCAAACCATTACACTGACAGAACTCTTGATCATTTCCTGCCATCTCAAGTGTTCTCTTAATCGAGTTAACACAAATTAAGGAGCGTAGAACCTGAAAATAAATTCTCATTTACCTCCATCGTAATAAACCATCGATGTGGTGTCATAAATTATATGGATACCAACATGCAAGATTACGATTTGCAATTGTGTAGCATTGCGGCTAAGCTATCATACTAGTATGGCCTAGAGCAATGCTGTGCTAACACACTGCCTGCCCTTAGTGTTATGTTTGCAACTGTAATCCTGAACTGTGACCAGTCAACTGCTGTGTAAGAATTAAATGGTCGCACCTGCAGTAATATTAACGTGCCCGATTGCAGGGCTACGATGAGGCCTACGAAGAAGCTCAGTGGCCGACTGAGCGAGTGCAGAGCATACTGATTGTACTGTAGATTCACTGATTAACTGATGATAGCATTTTCTGGTGGGGCTCCTCAGTGTAATGGACCAACTATAGATGGGTTTGTTTGTTCTTGAGTGAGGAGGGCCATGCAGTTCCTGCAGGGACTTAACATTAGTTCCATTGAGTGAGTCGACCATCTGCCCACCATTAACCCCAGAACCCTCCTTCTCTTTACAGGCTGGACAATTTGCTTAATATGGCCTATGGCGTAAAGAGGTAATTAAAAACTTCACCCAATGCCAGATGTCCATGTTGACTCAGTGATTTTTCAATATCCTTTTTTCCTGTTTGTTTTTATTATTTATTTTGTATTATTTTTTTTCCTTGCATTTTTGCAATCACTTTGCATTTGCAAATTCGTTCAAGGTCAACTGCATTCTTGGTTCTTTGATTTGTTTGTATGTTTTTCCCCTCGTCAGCTTCAGTTGGCTTTAAAACCTTCCCAACCACTCAAAGTGTAAAAAAACAAAAAAAAAACAATCAGCCTTGTTTTCAGTGGTGATGAATTTGCTTTGTTTTGATTATGAAAGTGCTGGTGTTGTTTGGATTGTTTTGGGTTGTTTCAACAGATTTTGTTCTCTGGTGTAAAACTTCTCATTTCTAGGTGTGTTGGTTTTATTTCTACTGGATTCAGGTTCTCCTGCCTTGTCGCCATAAATCTAGAGCTTGGTCTCTCTTTAGGGTCAAATTTTAAATTTGTCACTGTGAATGTATGTTAGAATCAAACATTATGTGAGTCAGATACAACCTATGACAAAATGAAAATTTTGCACACATTCTTGGTAGTGCTAATAGAATTCAAGAAAAGTTTAGCTAGGACTTCTGATAAGGCTAGATGAACCTGGATCCCTGCTGGAAACAGGAAATGCTGTTTCACTGCAGACAGTTCCAGCTTTGCTCGGCACTGCTCTGCTCAAACTCCTTTCCTTCGCCTCCATGTTTCATTTTGCTTTCTCACCAGCATAGGTGTTACATAACCCAGAGCAGCAGCCACTGTGGTGATAGATGATCCATGTGCTGACGGTGGCACCTTGCATGTTGCAAGCACAGGGGGCATCATCAGTCAGTCAGCTTAGAAACTCAAACAGAACCCAAGGTTTAGCTCGAGAGATATTTTCTCTTTGCGAGTTCCTCTAAAAACCTGTAATTTTGTCAAACAAGATCATGTTTTTGCAGAATAACACTCTCATAGTGATGCAATATGACATTCAAACGTTTAACGCTCTCCAGTAAGCACTTTACCCTCAATCCGAGTCTTTACATCATTTTTTTAAAAGGTGAAAATAGGTGTCTGATTTAGCGGTCCTGATTGCAAAGCATGTCATCAAGTTGCAAGTGTTTTTCAGTGATTTGAAAGGAAAGAGGAGGAAAGTGTTAAGAGCTGGAAATGGTTTAGCTTTAGAAAGGACAGAATAGATATCTGGTCAGCTACACAGTTGCTATGCAACCCGTGGTCTGGTCTGTAACATTGGTTGGTGCTCGGTCCCACTCTGGTGGGTATGCTTGCATACACGCTTACACCCATACGCACACATACATACAGGCACACTCATTTCCACCTTCACAAATCCAGTGTAAGCTAGCCTTCATTTAGCCAGAAAGCTGACGTTGTCCAGCTTAAATTTACAATTGGCATGAAGTTTTTTTTAAACATAAGAGAGGCCTGAGTGTGGCTGAGCATGTCAGACAGTGAGGCCTTTTAAGATTCATCCGAAAGGATCCTCTCAACAAGAAAGGGAGGCCACATGATTTGGTGTCTATTATAACCTAGTTTCTTGTTGCAAGAGTCTTGTGGTGGTAGGTAATTTAAAAAAAAATAGATCAAAATATTGCAGATTTATAAGTATGAGTCCATGTCATTTTAATTATACACACTAATTTGATCTAAATCTCAAAAGTGTAATTGCTGCAAAGAGCTCCTTACAGTTGCTAACCTGAGGCAAGTATTAGCATCCGAAACAACCGCAAGCAAACTCTGTATGACCAAAGTCATGCAGGAAGGTCGTAGTGATTGACCACATATAGTCACTGGAAACTGGAGGCTCTGGGCCCCGAGCAGCAAGCAGCGCTATCGATCAGTGCCACGAGCTCTGGAGTAGAACAGATCAGAACGCTCTGCAGGAGGGGAGGAGGGGGAGGAATACACTTTGTACCTTAATGCCACTGGGCTGTAAAGTGCTTCCATTTTCCATTTAGTTTGCTCCCTCTTCCCTCCCTCCTTTTCCTTAAGAAAGCAGCCATCTCTGAGACAGCTGCAGCAAAGCGGAAATCTCAATTAAAGCACTCCCAATAATGCCTATAGTCGTTTCTTGAAGAGAGGTGGCATAAGAAATGAACCTTTTTATCTCATTTACCTTTTATTTAAAGGTGGGGGTATTTTTTTTCTCCTCTTCCTTTCCTTTGAGCGGAAAGGCAATTAAGTGAAGTCAACTGAGGATTCAAATCTCTTGCATCACAAGAAAAAGGAGAAGATTATGAGGCGAACGAGAACAGATTTAGCAGGCTGGTGCATGATCTTTCATGAATTTCTAGCAACAGTTTAATTCAGCGACTTCCTGCAATTTAACACCTAAAGGAGCCACTCAGGGGCACAAAGAGAAAACCTTCATCTGCATCTCCTTCAGCAGAAATACAGCGTAGCGCACACAGCGCCGTCATCATTTCAGACAGGAGACTTTTCAGAGCCGAAGAGTTCTTGGAGGATTTAGTGGCAGCTTAGCAAACGAATGCAGACTGCCCCGACATATTTGCACATACGTTCGTACAGAGTACTTGCATGTTTAGCTGATATGGTGTGGTTTGGCTTTGAGATCAGTGGCTTGACCAGAATATTTGGCTGTAGAGAGTAGCGTGCGATTCAGGCGAGGATCATGGCAGGACCTTTTTGTTTTTCACTGGTTAGGGCGATTTCATGTACAGCAGATGCAGACACTGTTTCTCCGTGTGCCTCAACTTGCCCAGCTAACGCTTGCCGTTTTCTCTTCTTCCTCCCAACTGTGCCTCTCCTCTCAGGTTTTCACCTATCACTATTGACAGCATGACCAGCCTGGTTGGCATGAACATCCCCGGGCACACGGGCACCGGTTGGTGCATCTTTGTGTACAACCTGTCCCCAGATTCAGACGAAAGCGTGCTCTGGCAGCTGTTTGGGCCGTTCGGCGCAGTCAACAACGTCAAGGTGATCCGTGACTTCAACACCAACAAGTGCAAAGGCTTCGGCTTCGTCACCATGACAAATTACGACGAGGCGGCAATGGCCATCGCCAGTCTCAACGGCTACAGGTTGGGCGACCGCGTCTTGCAAGTCTCCTTCAAGACTAACAAGACACACAAGTCCTGAACTTTACCAGGTAGAAGCAGTTGCCCCGCGACTTTGTCTGCTCCAAAATTGCCCCCAACCCCCCCTACCCCCACCTCCACCCATCCCTTAGCCCCTTCAGTCACTACCACTACCACCCTACTACAGCCATCCAACACAGCAAACTCCAACCGGAACATAAAGCAACCAACAAACCATCAAGCAAATTGAACTAGAAATGGCTTATATTATAACTTTGGACCTATAAGCCAACGTTGCCTAAGTATTACAAAAATGAAATGATGAAAACGTTCACGAGTTTTGGGGAGTTCCTGCGATAATGCAGGCTTCTCTTTGTTGTATATTCTTTCCGTTTCTTGTGGTTGTTATAATGTTTTTTCTCTTCTGTGTAAAACAGTAGCAAATCCCTGTATCCCCTTATTTCAGAGAAGAGAACGTCCTCTTTCGATTGGAGCCTTTTCTCTGTCTTGATTCAGGATTTGTTTTTCTTTTGTAAATCCGGATCCACTGTCGGTAGTATTATATACCTCCCCGTCTAGTAAACGGGAGGCGGCTCTTTTTTAAATTGGTGAACCATTCATTCATTTTTAGCGTGTATTTCAAAGCGTCCCCTTACTGATTACAAACGGGATTCCACGGGATCCCGGTAACTCTGATGTAGAAAAAAAATGAATTTCTAACATTGTTTTTGTTTTGTATCGCAAACAAAACATAATGTCTTTCCTCACTTGGGGTTCAGGGAGATGGGGCAAGGGAGGGGATGGGTTAGCTTTGCTGATGACACGTTCAGTAATTTAAGAAAAAAAAAAATAACACTGTTGCCAAAGAGAAGATCTCTTTGCTTGGAAAAAAAAAAAAACACGTTTAGAAAAAGATAAAAATAAATAGAAAGATCTATTTTTATAAATGATAATTAAAATAATAATTATTGAAGAATTTTTACAAGAATCTGGATTTGAAAAAAAGAGAAAAATATTTTGACTGGCTAACTAGGGGGGGCCGGGGCGGGTGGGAGGGGGCACCACCTTGTCTTGTCGTTCTGCCGTGGTACTTTATAGGATCGGAGGTTGTTTTTTGGGGAATCCAAGTTGGTAGCGATTTTGTAGATGGAAGGTTTTGTGAAAAAAGGATGCAATCTGAGGCAGGTGATTTTGGTAATTTTTCACACATGTACTAGTGCATAATTATTCAGCGATACCCAAAAGGGAAGGGAGAGGGGTCTTTCCGAGGCCTAACCGTCCTCACAGTCCAGAGCCCAAAGCAAGAAGACCCTTTGTCCGCTTGTTTTCCTGTTTTTGTCATCAGTCGATATGGGATCTCAGTAAATAGATATATACACATCTATCCATTTAGAAGCATACTATACATTATCTATATCATTTTCTTCGCTCTTACATTTGAGAAGAACTTCCTTTTAGCGATCAACAGTAGGTGCTATACTACATTATTCACATATCTTAAATATCCAAGTTTGTTGTTCTATGTGTTGTTTAAAGAAAAAAAACTACTTTGATGTTGGCATTGAATTGAGCTGCTGTTCTTTGTTTAATATTTGTTTAATGTTGGCCCAGAAATCTGGTGAGACTATTTCTTTACTGAATAATCAGATTTGACTAAATCGGGCCTTGTAAGAATCACTGAACAAATTTTTTATTTGTTTTTGGGGTTGTTTTTTTTTTTTGTTGGTTTGCTGACTTTTAGGTTACTTGCTGAGCGTGAAACGTTTGTCAAAACTTAATGATGATTAGCTAGTTCCGTTAGTCTAGATATTTGTTTCCTTAAAAAGGATCTATGACAACTGTGTCTTTATTTGCTGTGTACAAATAGATGATATATATAAATATATATATAGTCTACATTTGTTTTACAATATCTACTGTACTATCTGAGTTGTCACTGTTCTTTTGTTCGTTTGAGCTTGTCTTTTTCATATGACAATTTATTATGAAGTGGTGGTTCAGTTACTTAGAAAAACTTGTGAGGAAACTGTTCAATTGTTGTCATGTTGCTTGTGGAGAAAAAAAATTGGATTAACTTTTTAGTTAACTACCGCGGCAAAAGAAACCGAACAAAAGCTTAGAGTATAAACGTGTTGGTTTAACGGTTTGTTTCCTTATCTATTTTTGAAACTATTTATTTTTCTATTTATTTGTATTTATTCTATATTTATGATTCATTAATTTATCTGTGTATTTATGTATTTATTTGTTTGTTTCATTGTCTGTGTATTTGCGTGATTCTGGTACAGGGAGGGGGGCGTTTCTGAGCAAAAGGGAACAAAGCGACTAGTGGAGAGGCTCTTCCAGTAGTCCACTGCACTGAGAGAACTTTTAGTACGTTTGTGCTTTGTACCAATATATCAAAATTACAATATAAAAAAAATCTAAAAGTCAAGAAAACTGAAAAAAATGTCTGGAGGGTTGGGGGACGCTCTTCCCTTATTACTAGAAACAGTTACTCGCTATGCATAACCTAGTTAATAGTTCAATTTGCTATTGCTTTTTTCTTGTCTTGTTAAAATGAAATCTTTAGATCTTTTTCAATAAAGTTTAGTCTTAATAGAATGTTATAAACAGTCGTTCTGGTTCAATATAACCTGTGATAAGTTTGTGTAGTTCTAATAAGCCACTCCGTCCACACCCTCCCTCCACTTACTACCGCTTTGTGATGAAACCTTATGCAAAAATGTGGGTCTGAAAGCATAGTTTTCCGTTTCGGTTAGCATTTTGTATGACATTCAGCTCTCGGAGGCTCGGGCAGACAGACATTAAAAATTGTTGTTCGAGGGTCATTCATTGCACTGGACTAAATCGGTCAAAGAGTCAGAACTTATTTTTAAGAATGTTCATCATGTTTTCAAATGACGTACCAACAAATCTTTGAGAAATTGTTACCATTGCACACCAACTGTTCTTTCCAGCAGTTGTTGCTATACATAAGAAGTACTCTGGAGGTATAAAAAGGGATTGTACCGATTCTATATTTTATATACTCTAATATGATATATATTATATATTTTGAAAGGTGAAAGGTAGGGGGAATGGTTCCAGAAGTATAAATATAAGAAATTGGATTTTTTTTGTTTGTTGTTAAGACTTGAAAACATGAAGGAGGTGTGCGGAGAGCATTTGAAACACTCAGACGCATGCTCGCATAGTACATCCTCCTCTCTCACACCTCACTCATCTGACAAGCTGGGTCATTTAATATCATTACCATTATCCAACCGTCATCTTTGCCATCCTGTTGCTTAATGTTCGAAAATGTCATGACAGCAACAAACCAACCAACCAACCAGACCCCTTCATGCTCCCCGCTGCAGTCGGGAGCTTGAATTATGCAACGACCCCAGTAGAATGTTCTGATGTGTGAACTTATTTCCTACACTGTATGACTTTTGAACTCTTACGATGCGTGCCTGTGTTCCGCCTAAACCCTGTGTGCACGTGCGTGTGTGTGTGTGTGTGTGTGTGCGTGCGCGCGCATTTGTGCATGTTCGTATGCATGTTCCTTTAAGTAACTGTGTGCGTGTTGTGTGTTTGTCCACATGCGTTTGTTAGTGTGGAGTACATCCATGTGTGTATGTACAGTATATACATATGTTCAGTGTCTGTGCTTTCCTCTTTGTTTTTTTTGTTGTTTTTTAATTAATTTCTTGGCACATATATATACACAGATGTGTGTGTGCCTGAGTGCACCTGCGCGCGCAAGTGACTGAGACAGCTCAGAATGTGTGTGCGAATGCGTGTGCATGTCAGGGTGTTTGAAACATGGGGCTGCGTCACCTCGCTCTATGCCCAACCCCTATGGCTCACACCATCCCCTGTAGCGCCTTATAGTGGCAGCCTGCCAGTAGGAACAACGCAGCCAGTAGTGGAGGAGGGAAGGTGAACAGAGGAACTAGGCTCTTCTTGTCAGTTTTCATTTTCCTCCTGAGACGTGTTTGTTTACTATCTGAAAAATCTATAAATGAAATCTTTAAAGACAAAAAAGACGAAAAAATGTTCACAGGGCCCCATGACCGCGGCTCTCTCTACTCTCTCCTGCTTATGTTATTACTTAACAATTATCAATGATGATTATTATGATTATTATTGCTATTATTCTTAGTATTCTTATTCTTATTATTAATCCAATTACTGCGATGAATGACTTCATGTTATCCTTGCTAGTTTAGGTCATTTCTGAAACTGGAAACAAAATAAAAATCTTGCTGTAAATGTTTGTTTTTTCTTTTTCATAAAACTGTTGTGTTTGAATTATTTGTACTTTTGAATGTTGGGACAATAAAATGAGGTGTTAAGAGCTCTGATGTTTCATTTTTCCTCACATCCCTTCAAGGTAGGAAATCTTTTTGTGAATAACGCTGTGAAAGGGTCTAACTTGAGGATGAGATGTCCAAGTGTCATCTGTGACTAAAAACTAGAAATAATCGTTAAAAATTCAAAGTAATAAGTCAGCTAGGTCAAATCAACTCTAGCTTTCGTGCAGGACTCAAACCCCAGTCTTCTGCGTGAAAGTCCTTTGTTGCTCTTTTTACTAGGCCTCCTCCATCTGTCACAGTGTATGAAGTTCATCATCCTATATCATCTTAAATGTAAAAATAATTTACTCGTTTCAATTGTTTGTATCTGTTTATCAACCTTTGTTTTTGTGGTTAGAGCTACATTTATTATGCATTTTAATAGTCAGTGTTCTTATTCAAACATTTAAAATCTTTTGGCAAATTCTACTTTGCATTGCTTAGCCTGACAGTGAGGTTTTTAAATGTGCCAATTTGCTGCTTTGAACTGCTCTTTATCCTTGAAAACTAATTTTTATCTCGGGTTCAGGGAAACTTGAGGCCATTTGCATTTTCTTTAACTGAATAAGTAACCCCAAAAAGATAGTTTCTGTCCACGTGGACGTAGCATGTTCAGTGGGAGAAATGTTTCATCACTCATTAGTCTCTGCTGACTGCAGGTTTCTCCAGCCTTATAAACAGCACCTTTACACAATGACTGAAACTAGCGCCACTGGCAAACAACGTGAGTTCAGTTTCTTGATCATTAATATGTAAATTGTCATATCGTTGATCAACAACCACTGATCTATGACAACTGAGACAAATCCTAGTAGTGTAACTGATCACAGAAACAGCAATTCCAAACCCAATACTTATGAGCCCCTGAAACAAGACCAAGGAAGCGGTAACAGGAAGAGGGTGACGATTGCCTGAAGCAGTTAGAACAGGACAATACTGACCAGACTTCATACCACAGGCTATACACCCAGGGGAATCTACACCAAGTCTATATGGTTTACCAAAGATATAAACACGGCCAACGTTTAAGACCAAATGTCTGCATGATCAACTCGGTCACCTTTAACATCTCAAAGTTTCAGGCTTCAATCCTCAACCCCATTGGTAGGCAACTCTGAACATGACATCCAGAACACTTTGGATTTTGTTGAGAAGGTGAGAGATGTCATGATGGAGGCAGATGAACTACATTGCTACAAGCAGAAACACTGGTGTGCCACGGGTTCTCCAGTTTCACCCATCGTGGCAAACGTACATGGAAGAAGTGGAATAGAGGGCTTTGCTATCCTACCCTGGAACACCACTAAGTCATTGGTTCAGGTTTGCAGATGACACATGGGTGAAAGTCAAATCTCAGGATGTACCACAATTCACTGATCACATTAACTCGATGGGACAACA